AATGTAACATGTAAAGGTCAGAACATCATATTAGCTCATTGTTAGGATTTCCCTGGCACAAAGAAGAAAGTTAAGTATTGAATTTCTGCCTATTTGTTGAAACCAGTATCTTACTGCCACTTCCTTGTTAGTTTGTGAATCATCTGGTTTTCCAAAAGAAATGGATCTAAGCAGGAGCATTTCCAATTGGAAAAGTTATTGTTTCTTTTCTTAATTACAAACCATGTGAAAAATAAGCCATTAAAGACTTCCCTGTTACCACTAGGAAGGATCCCCACATCCTGGAAGCCTCCTCATCATCACATGATATTGCCTTCTTAAAAGGGCTCTCTTTGTAAGACTGCTGTAACCCTTTCCAGCTAGACTGAGCTCCTCTGTATAAATATTTGGAATAAATGAATAAACCACTGAAATGTCTGGAAGAAGTAACAAGCAAGGGAAAATTTAGGGGAAAAAAAATAAGGACTAAACTTGGGACGTTGTATAATACTGAAGTTGTGAGCAGAACAGATACTGTTTACATTTCAAGTTAGAAAAAATAATTTTGTATCATTATAGGAAAAAAATGGATTAAAATTATACATTAACAGAGTGGCAGTAAGCCTGGGATAGTTCTAACAATGTTCACTCTTGCTATCATTATACAGTGGTAGTTTTCTCCCTCTCTACCAATAAAAAACAACATGAACTAAAGTTTTTACTGTTTAAAATAATATATAAATAAAAAAAAATATAGGAAGCTAAATGTATAGAGAAAAAAAGATATTATCTTGAAGACATGGCAATCAAAACACTAATATCAAGAAGATTTTTAATTTGGATCAGAAAATATAAAACATCTCAGAAAACGAATCGATTTATCCAAAATAAAAAAATCCAGCAAAAAATCCAGACCACTGACTCCAGAGGAATGTACAGGTTTCCTTCACTTTATGCTGTGCATGCATTCCTGGAAAATGGTGCATAACTCAAATTTGCATAAAGGGAGCCCATTTTACAACGTAACAAAAAAGGGATACATTCCAAGATCTCGACTGTACTGACCCCCATACCTATTTTTACCACTTTTAGAAGACAATTCTACTCACCAACAGCAGACAGTACATACAAGCACAGGCTGTTGAACGTTTAGTTAGTGCAAAGAGAGGGTGGTGAAGGGTCTTCAGTGTCAGACTTCACATCATTGGTAGGAGGTATGGGCAGGACATCCATAGGAGAATCAACAGGCATGGGGCTCTCAACACCCTCCAACACCAGTGGGGTGGGGCTGGGGGTAGCTGAGTGAGGCTTCAAGACTATATTTTGGTGTGCATCACTCCCACAATACACCACACAAAGTAGCTGACTGCAGGCTTCCACCACACCGATTGCATAAGAATGAATGTACCTTGCATATAATGAATTTTTGGTCTAAAAAGGGTCATTGCATAAGAGCGAATTCGCACATACAGAACCCGCATAAAGCGAGGGAAACCTGTATATTATGAAACGGGTTCAGAACCCAAACCAATTGGTCTACAACAGAGATGGAAAAAACAAAGAAAAAATGAACAATGGAAAATGTTACAGAGTACATAAGACTCAATGTTAAAAAAAGTATATCTGCTATTTAACATGTCCCCAAACTTTATAGGATATGCCATATACTTGACTTGATTTTGAAGAAAGTGGCATGGCTGAACTTTTTATGCACATATTGCAGGGGAAACAGTCCAAAGATTAAGCAATTCTGGGAACAAACTGCCCAAGAAAAAGAAAATCTCACAAAGAGAAGTAAACACTGGGTTTTTGCCAGTCATGCGTAATGTATTTCAGGTTATAGCAATCAGAAATGCGCATGATGTATCGTAGCAGCCATTTGGAATCAATCCCAGAATAAAATGATAAGTGATTGGATGAATAAGCTATGGGACATTGTAGCAATGGAAAAGCTGACACATTCAAGAAAGAACAAAGCTGAAGACTGCTATGTTTGGCTATCATTTATAAACTTTACACAATGGACACAAATAATTGGGGCTGGAAAGTTTTCAGAACCTTAATTTTTTATGTATTCAACAGTAAAACCACACAGTAAAGATGCAATACCTGGGCTCCTTTCTCACTCACACTGGGGTAAATCAGAAATAAGGTCAATGAAGTTACTTATATCAGCATAACGTTGCTATAAATGAAAGCAGATGTGAGCCCTAACACAAACTGTTTGATACCTGGAACTTAATAAAAAGTAACGAGACAGGAGAACACACATCAGTCAATTTTGTATTTATTTTCAGAAAGAAAGAGGTCAGCAAATTCAGTGTGTTGTATAAGAACAGTAGCAAATACAATGACCCCATTTTGTGCAGTACAGGCACTGCTTGAGGATGAATACTTCCCAACTGGCTTCACCCATTGTCTTGTTACTAGTAGATCCTGGAACATGGCAAGAATCTGGTCCTATCATACTAACTGATACAATCTCAACTCCTGTTTCACTGACTGAAACATACATATAGTAAAATTCATGCACTCAAGATAAATCCATATAGGTTTTTAGCCTGTATATCCCATACAGACTTATGGTCTCTCTTCCTATTATGTGCGTGGGGATAGAGTTCATTCAGAATGAATATGGCCCAGGCAACTTGTCCCATTATGTTTAGGCTTGAAGTTTCTCATTGTTTCCCCAAACACAGTTTTACTAACACGCTATTGTCATTATGCAAATTTTGATTACAACAACCACTGAGAATCTGCACCAGATTTACCAGTCAAACAAGAAACGCTTCTTAAATTCTTTGAGACAATTCAACAAACTGACAACCACATTAACTAAGCAGCAACTGCTGCAAAACATCAAGTGTTCTCCGTTTATGAAAGTGTGTGCATATCCAGTGGAGGTGTGAAAACAAGTCACTGACATGATGGCTTTAAGTTTGGTATTTATTTAATCAGAAAGCATTTTTCACCCAGAATGTCATTATGTTTGCTCCTCAGACGCACTGTTCCCTGTTAGGCGATGCTTTCAATAGTGCTCAAGGCCAGTTTTGAATGGGAGAGGTGCTTTGGAAAAATTTGACTAAGTATCCAAATAGCTTGGGCACCTACCTCCCACTGATTTCAAAAGGAAGTAATTGGGCTGCTAAATCACCCAAGTGCTTTAGAAAATTATAGAAAAATTTACACATTACTTGTGCATATTAAGGTTCAGTGTCAAATTCTGATAGTTAAAAAAACAAACATGAGAGAGCTACAAGTAAACTTTTGATGGAAAGAGGTGTAGTTACTGAAACCCATGGAAACATGCCCCTTTTTAGAATCCCCATTCCTCAAGGAAAGCTTCCAAAGATTTCTTAAATGACCCCAGTGGTTTTTTTTCTAGGCTCAGTAACCTTGTAGTCAGCCTTTTCACACATTTATTAGTGTGAAATAACAGGTGCTTTGGGCTTGTTTCTCTGCTTTCTGTTTATAGCACATTTTCCAATCATCTGCACACGTTAAAATAAGACAAGTGTGTGCAATATGCTGCAAGTTACTGAAGTTACTTGAATTGACCCCTTTCTTATTTTGAAACCTTGCGTTAAAATGTATTAGATCATTTTAATCAACCTTCACTAGGTGGGACTGGATTGGTCAGACAGTCAGCAACCCCAGCCATTTGATTATGTCCAAAATTCCCAGTGGAAGCTGGTTATTAAGGGGACACTGTGAGAAATGAGTTTGGTAGCCACACTCCAGTCCCTGCTGACAGGTATCTACTACTCCAGCAGTGAAAAATTAGGAGAATGACTTAAACAAAATCATGATTTTTAAAACTGTTCTGAATAATTATTTGCCTTTTCTGACCTCTGGATACACGTGGGTCACATTTTAAAACTTTCACCACAATCAAGAGAGCTAGAAGCTTACCAGGTGGATTCTATATGTGCTTTTACACGCACCTGAACTTAACGCGCATTAGCCTAATGCACATTATGGTGATTTAGGCACACATCTATACATGCACACACTAAGGCGCACAAATGCGTGTGTACGGACCAACTAAAATTAGTCCAAAGTCAATGGACATACACTGAGTTGTGCATTAGCGTGTCTAAGGGCTCGCTAATGTGACTTAGCTATTTGCGCATAAATTTGATACCTGCCTTATGCAAGTATCAAATTTAAGATCAAACAGCCTCAAATCATTATTTTTAAGCGCATTAAGGGCACACACGTGTAGATGTGCACTCTTAATGCACCTTAAATTGGGCTAATGCACATTAAATGTGCACATGTAGACATGCCCACTGCAGGTAAAATTCCCACCTAACCATGTGATAAACATCAACTGCCACAAGACTTGCCTTGAAATTGATCACTGAAATTACTGGGCATTTACTTTTCTGTGGGTATCCAGTCTCTAATGCATTCTCCATGTTTTCCCTCAGTGCCGAGGTCCCTGCACAATCAGCAGATTAGGTGTAGTAGCTAGGCAATGGCGGCTAGGCAGCATCCTATGCTTTGTGTGTCAGTAGCAGACTGTCACGGGAGTGTTTTGTTTGGGCCTGGATGGGATTACTCAAAATCAGGGGCGAGCGGCAAAAAGCAGTATTTGCTCAATCTCTGATGGGGATAGGCTTGAGAAATGGCAATAAAGGTATGTGATAACAAGGAGAAAAATAGAAAATAGAAGTCTGTAAGGTCCTTACATAGAGGGAAACCACTCACAAGGAGAGATGGGAGGTGCATGCAGAGGCCTAACAAGTAAGTTTTATGCCCTGGGTGGCAGCAGCATTGGCTACCAATCTTGTTTCCTCTCTATGTCTCTGCCTGAAGCTGGGGCCCTTCTTGCCCAACCCTAGTTATTCTGCTTGGTACAGGCCACAAGGGTCCCAGCATGGATTTACTCTGGTGATGCATCACAATTTTGACTGGATGGGCAGGAAATTCCCTCCTTGCCTTAGTCTGCAAAGGGAGAATTTGTTTCCAAGTGCAATCAATCTGGCTTCTTTACAAGCAATAAACTCACATGAGGAGACAATGAAATGTTCTTTAATTATCACACATCAGTATTTTATGCTGTCATCACTATCTCAGTACAGACACGTAGTATAATTTTAGCTCTAGGGGCAGTTTACAAAGAGGCTCAATAAACTGAAAGAATCAATGCAACCTCTACCCTAATGGGTAGATGCGTTTAGCCATCAATAATAGAAAAAGCAAAGTGGTCACTACTGGGAATGCAGAATCTTGACCTTTCACTTCAGAATTGCTCCAGTCAACAGAAAGAATGGTGCTGGCTGCACAATTATTGCCCCTGATGAGAAACTGTCACACTTTCTGGGTCATCACGGACATAGAAGGCAAAGGAATACAGAATGAGTATATCTGTCTCTCAACCCCTTAACTCTTTGTATCTCATACTTGCTGTTTTAGATTATAAGACTTAGGGAAGCTGGAAGTATGCAATGGTGTATATTTTGCAGAACCTAGGCACTACAGTTGGGACCTCAAGGTGCTACTGAAATAGAAGTTTTAGATAACTGTTTGTTGATCAATGCACACAAACATTAGTTCCCCCTTCTCCCATGCACACATTTTAGGTCTTCGCACTCTATGACTTCACCCTGAGGCTTCATACAGACAGACACAGATTTCAATAGCATGGTGGGTCAGTTTGCCTGAGCTGAGGTTTATTTTTCTTGCATTTCATTTTGCCACCTTAATCTTTTCAAACATCTTCCTTATTTTTTTCTTTGGTCACCTCACTGATGTTCTTCAGTATAATAGCAAACACAACCTAGTAAAGATGGAAAATTCTCCTGGCCAAATCTTTGTGGGCAATGCAGTTTGTCCTCTATCTATGGAGAATGTATAATGCAATAGCCACAAAAAAAAAAAGGGAGAGTCTTACATTTTTTGGTAAGGAAAAGCTGACACAGAAGACTATCAAAATTCTCAGTAGCATGACTACTACTGAATAAAAGAAACATCCCGTTGGCAGCCCATGGAAAGGGAGGAAGTGGGTTGAGAAAAATTAAAATTTGTTTTAAATTGAGTGCACTAAAAACAAACCTCTGTTTAAGACACATCAGTTGGAAAAATTCTGTATCTGCATACAGCCTCAAGGCCACACCAGGCCATGCCAAACACAGCAGTTCCAAAATAAACGGCACTTACACACACATACAGGCTTAAATAAGGCAGTGTCAAAACTTCCTGTGACTCCTTTGGGTCCTAAATTTACAGACAAATAAAAAACATAAATGAAAGTTGTATTTGGACTGATCTACTTCTGTCTGACAACAGTCTTAGGTTAACAGATAAAAATAAAGGTTTCTATCCTGCACATCTTCATTGCATGATGGTTTCATTTCTTTATTCAGTGGCATTCACTGCAATGAAGACTGAGGGCCAAATCTATGCTTAATATGAATCCACAAGAGTTAGGATTGCTTGGCATTTTGTAAAATGAGATCCTTTGTGAGTAAATAAGAGTTAAACACCACGAGGCAGTGATAAACGTGTTAAATTGGGAAAAGGTCTGTTAACAAACTGAAGTTGTTATTTCCTGTCTGGGGTTTCTATTTGCTCTAATAATTATAACCTAGTTGAGAAAGGAAAAACAGGGCCATATAATATATTCACCAAGGGGTTCTTCCTCATGCTCTGGAATGGCTGACACATTTGCTTCCGTTACATAATCTGGCAACTCTTTTCGACAGTGTTCTGAATGGTATAGTTAGATTCGCATATGGAAGTCAAAGTATAATGGGAGCTGGAGCATTAATCAGAATCCCTCTTTCCCACTTTTTCTCTACCTGGGGCAGTTTCCCCTCTTAATCTCACGTGGATCCACTTGCTTGAGGTTTTGTTAGTTTTTTGAAACAGTGCATAACAGACTGTATCCCCGACTTGGGCTGAGGGGTCAGTTTTCCATCTTGGGTACTAACCAGAATGGGGAAAAGTGATCCTAGACAGCTTTGACTTTGTAAGGAAAATCCTCGGCTACCTTTAACCTGTCTCTGTCTTCTTCTACAGGCTGTTCAATTTATCTTTGGTATTAACTTTGGCCCAGTAGTTGGCTCAATATTCATAAGAGCCGGAAGACGCAACAAATCATTGAGAGACAGGAAGAGAAAAGCCAAACTCCTCTGATATACCAGTCTTGATTATGCAAAGCCTTACTCAGCTGTCAAGCACTTAGGCAAATAGCCCATCAAAGGGAACAGTCCTATGAGAAAGTGTTCCACAGTGGCAGAAAGGAGACTGGGCTTTTTAAAAATGTTATGATTAAATGCAAGTGGAAGATTATGGCACCAATGTAATGAATAACAAATAGAAAAAGAAAAAAGTACTAAGGTCATTGATGTTCTGAGCTGAAACCTGTTTATCGTGCTGGTCAAGTGGTCTGAGTCAGCGTGCTTATGCTCTCTTCGATCTCAGACAGTTTCTTCAACATTTGATTCACTCTGGCTTCATCAAATTCCAGACACAGAAAATCAGATTCCTACAAAAGAAAGGAAGAACAGTTAGATGAGACAGAAGACTGCTTCCTGTGAATTCAGAAAAAGTATGGACTGTTAGGGAGAGGCCATTACAATGCAGGGGACCAGGAGAGCTCTACATCACTGGTTCCCAATCTGTGGTATGGGTACCACCAGTGGTACATGTTAATAGATTTATTATAATTACTTTATGTGACACAAATTTGCTGGTGGCACTTAAGGTTGAACTGAAAAATTTGCTGATGGTATGTAAGGTAGTATTGTTTTAAATTGGTGGTGTGCAATCTGTCAGAGTTTGGGAACCGCTGCTCTGCATCATTGAACAATGGTACTTACAAACAATTAAGGAGCAGCTCTGATGTACCCTGAAAGGCCTGTCTCTTGGGGAAAAAAAAGTGAGCTGCTCTAAGGTAGGTTGAAAATGAGGATAAGGAGCAGTAAGAGGGTACCAGGGGCACAGAAAATGATGAATATGAAAAGTAAATGATTCTAACCAAGTGGAGTTAGGTAATAAAAAACAACGTAAAAAGACCTCTGAGGTCCCTGACACAGTGGTCTCATTCCTCAACAGAGTATGCAGTCAGAAAAGGCTGCTTGTGTAATCTAGGAAATAGCACTTAGTTATTGCAAGTGTACATGGCCATAGCTTAAATGCCATTCTAGGTGAATTAGTACCAATGGCAAAAAAACCACTGGGAAATAAGTAAAATACTGCTAATTTGAACAGAGCCACTATCAGTGACAGGCTGGGGCTGTGTGAGACACTCAAGTGAGAAAGAAAAAGCTAAAAACAACACCATGGGAAAATTCCAGGTGTTCCAATTTTGAGAAGAAAACAAACCCTAATTTCAAATATAAAAATAGCATGCAAAACAAAAAGGAAGGTTTCTTTTTTGTAAAGAGATATTGGAATATTCAGCCTTCCAGGCAGTCTGACTCACTGAAGATCCACTGATCCTTTGTACAGAATGGATTCGCCAAACTATCTTGTAAGAATAAAGGACAGCTTCCAGTCTGAATTAAACTACATTTTTTTCCAACACGTTTAATATTTATCAGACATTACTGTGTCTTAATTCTATACACTTAACTTAGTATTTAATGGTTGAGACTTTTTCAAGTGGCATTTTTTTCTAGTGATTTAATGTTTGATTTTTTTACCTATACTTAGAAAAAATATTTAAATTAAACAGAATCTATAGTTTCCCATATGTGCAAAAGAAAAAAATATACCCTTTGCTTCCTGTCTCTTACTAGAAAAGACTCCTTATTTTTATTAAGAGAAAAAAGGAAGAAAGAAAATAACATGAATAGCAAAGACAAGGCAAAATGCAGCAAAGTAAATAATAAAGGCACTGCAACTTATTTATTAAAAGCATAAACTCGTCCAGTGAAATGATATAGTCCAGGTTTCAGGAAGCCTGGGAAACAAGTGTGCCTGAAAAATCAGGCATTTAATGTTACCCTTAAATTGCATATGAAATTACCACAGGTATATGCACAAATCAGCAATATGAACTTAAATGTATAATTTATAAAAGCCATTTATAAAAGCCATCTATGGTACATATACATTTTCATTAGATGAATAATTGTGGGTACTATGTACTAACATTCATCTGAATATTTTAAAAAGGAATTCAATTAACTAAACATTCATTGTCAATACTATTTACTGCAAATCCTTTGGTCTCCATTTCTGCTATTTTTTTCTAGTTCTATTACTCACTTTACAATAACTTCTGTATTATACATATGATGGACCAATTTTCTACGCAAGGCATTTAGATATACACTCAAAAGTGTATAATTTGTTCATTTAAATCACAACTGAAACTCATTTTGCATCATCTCCTAATTACAGTTTAATCCAATAATTCCTGAACATTTCATAATAAGATTATATTTTCAAAGTTTTTCTGATCATTTCCTATGCCTTTTCTTTAAAGCAGAACATTTTATTAATTTTGATTCCAAGCAGTATGGTGAAGCATAGCCCTGTAACTAAATTCACGTTGGATAAAGATATGCAGAATGAATGCAGAGGCCTCAACCCCACAGCTATATCCAGAGTTCTCCATTGAAATTCTAAGTCTTATGAGTGATTTATCAAATCACTCAAGTGTGAGGGTTTCATAAGGATTTTTAATATAATTTGATCAATTTGACAGCTAAGGAATGTGAAACGTCAAGGAACTGTATTAATATGGGTGTGAAGTCTAGGATTAGGAGTTGAAGAGAAAGCCTCCCACTATTTGTGTCTATACTTTAAAATGCCTGTTAATGCTATATCTTACAGAAAAGGCTTTGGCATGTTGAAGCCCACACATAAAATATATAAACACCCTTGTGAAGCCAAGTTAAATTTGAGCAGTCTGTGGTATTAAAATATTTGGTTTGGAATTTAGCAGCTTATCTGCATTTGGCACTCTGCTTTGTTGTAGCTTCCTGTCCGATTAGTGCGCAATGGAAAAAATCTAGGTCAAACGCTTGAAAAGGCATTTAGAAATTTATAAAATTTTCTCATGCCAAGGATGAAGGAGTTAATGAATGACAACTTAAATTCAGGAATATCTTCCCATGCATGCCTTGATTGGAAAACAATTGTGGGAAGGCAGAATTTCAAATGAACAGTTATTCTATAACCTGAGGCTTTACAGTGTCACTGTACTGTAACCTAACCTTGCATGCTTCCGATGGAGCGAGCTATTTCACATCTGAATGAGGATGGTTGGTAAACGTTAACTCCAATCCTCAGATTTGGGTGCAATCTCAGTGAACTGGAACACAGGATTTCAATGTACAGTAATACACTTCTAGGTCCGAGACCAAGGCAGGTTTGAAACTTTTCTTCTCAGAAACCTATCGGGGAAATATTTTTCAGCTTTTCTCCACAAAAGTCCCACTATATCAGAAGATGATGGATATAGCATTCCTTATATTCATATAACTGAGCTCTTTTAATATGCTAATGTTTCACAGGCTCATTTTTTAGGAACCAAACAAATAAAATTCAATAACAAAGCTATAGGGAGGTTTTACCTTGACCTTTCAGAGAGTATGACCACACCATACTTCAGTCTTGGCCTGATTGAAGTCAACAGCAAAACTCAGTGATTTGTGTGGGGTCAACTGGAAATCATGTCACTGGACACCAGAAAGTATGGCTAGTATGTCTATGCCTCCTGGGAGGGAGTTGAAGGGAGAGAGATTGTATAATGAATGGTCCCAGATTTTTATCCATGACAGTGCAGGAAATGTGAGAAGCAAGGATATTTGGGGGTGGGGAGGGTAGAAATGATATCTTTTATCTGACCAACTGCATGGTTGGAAGAGATGTTAGACAAGCTTTCAGGCACCATGCTTCCTACTGCATTTCCATCACCTTTCAGCTAACCCCAAGAATATTTCTTTGCTGTTTTATAGCGCTACAGGATTCCTGTAGGCAGGCTGCTTTTATTTACATATGGAGTTTTTCACAGGCAGTTGGTCTATTCATTACTTAGCTCAAGCTGCAGCTGCTTAAAAAAAAATTAATAAATAAAGCAGTTTGTGCTCAAAGGCTTACTTAAAATTTTTCCCAACCATGCAGTGGATCCAATAAAAGACTTACCCTTCTCCAAAATATCCTCTGTCCCTAAATTTTAAGGCATGAGTTTTACTGTAACCTGCTGGAGCCATACAGCATGAATGGCATCATCTAGTCACAACAGTAATGTGTTAGAAGTGACGTGCAGAGAGGACAAAGAACACGTGGACTCTTTTGGCTTCATGACAGTGTATGATGGTGGTGGACCACAAGGTTTGGTTCGCTTTACTTGTATTCAGATATTCGCTACCCTGTTTTGATGGAGGACTGCCAAAGGACAGCAACAGAGACTGAGGTCTCATCTGTGCAAGAAAGTTGGATCTGGTATATTTAATTACATACATTTCTAAACTGATCCTGTCCTTGTCTACGTAGGATTTTTTTTACTGTAGGATGTGAATTTAAATCGAAGCAGTTGTACAGATATAAACTCCCCTGGGATAGACACTTACACAGAAATACCTTGCTTACTTAAAGACTCTATCTATGGGCACATTTATATGTACTCCAGAGGTGTGGGGGGCAGTGT